GCATTAGATCGCTCACTATGCGATTTAATGAAAGTAGTGGATGAAAGTGTGACACACCGACCATTTGGGGGAAAGACAATTATACTTGGTGGAGATTTTAGACAAATATTACCTCTTGTGCGAAGAGGTTGCCATGCTGACACAGTTTCAACTATAATACAGAGGTCAAAGTTATGACATAATTGTATGATCTTGGAGTTGTAAACAAACATGTAATTGCTTAAAAATCCATATCCATGTTTACATGAATATGTACTATTTGCAAAATGGCTACTTGACATTGGTGAGGGGAATATAGCAAATACTCATCCAAAAATAGTTGGTGATGAAAGTTCGATTGACGTACTTGATGACATCTTAGTAAATGATGATGGTGAAGGAATCCAACCACTTATCAACTGTACATTTCCAGATTTGGTGAATAATTTTCACAACAACTCATATATGTGTGGACGAGGTTAATAGAATAAATGACAAGGTTCAAAGTTGGAGCAATTCTTGCTCCTAGGAATGATGAGGTTAATAGAATAAATGCCCAAATCCTGCAATTATTGCATGGGGACATTCACACTTACCTTAGCATTGATAGTGTTGATAGATTAAACGTAAAATCTTTCGTAGCCGAAATGTACCCTATAGAGTTCTTAAACACTATAACATTTGGTGGATTGTCGAACCATGAAATTTCACTAAAAATTGGAACACCATTTATGTTATTAAGGAATTAAATCAATCAATTGGTTTGTGTAACATAACTCGATTTATTGTCATCAAGTTGGATGGAAATGTTATAGAAGCAAAGATCACTACAGGAAGCCACGTCGGGGAAAATGTTTTTATCCCACGCATTACAATGTCACACAAAAACATGGGATTACCATTCCACTTTAAATGACAATAGTTTCCACTCAAGCTTTCATTTGCTATGACAATTAGCAAGAGTAAGGGTCAAATTTTGAAACATGTTGAAATTTATTTAGAAAATCCAATATTCACTGACGGGCAGTTGTACGTTACTATATCCAGAGTATCTTCAAGGTCTGGCTTGAAAAGTTTACCAATAAATAAAGATAATTAATTGAAAGGGCATACAAAAAATGTTGTTTGCAAAGAGGTGCTCGGTAACATTGTCATGGGGCAAATATGAGATGTAAATTTTTTTTTTTCATTCTTATGTATTTCATCCCCATTACTTATTTGTCAATATTTTTTATTTGTTCCTCCTTATTTCTTGTAGGATGAGGTTTAGACTTGCTCTAGTGTGCTTCTTTCATACATACAAACTTTATTGGAATTTTAGTGGGAGGCTCACAAGAAACCTTAGAGTATATTCCTTCCAAAGAATGGATCGAATGATATTCCTTGATTGCAATGTACACATTTTTAAATTAGTATTTAAATATAATTATTTCCAACTTCTAGTACTAGTTGACATATAATGATTTCTTGATTTGCATCTTGCATGTGTTAATTTGCACTATCTTGTTCAGGTTGCTGATGTCGAGATAAAAATGATATTACTTTTTCGATTCTTGTGATGATATCCCAAATTATAAGTACAATTTAATTCCATTTCCAAAAGTAGAGAATTACAAGGGTAGTCGCATTTTTGTTGGTATTCTTCTTCTTTTTTCAACAAATGTTTTAACATTTTCTAGGTTTGTGTTGAATTTATCCATTGGTTGCTACATACTAACAATTGTATCTTATCCATATCTATTAGACATGATTGGCCTTGCACTACATGCTAGTCCATTAACAAAAATTTCGTCGAGCTCCACCAATTATTACTTGATAAATAGTAAGCATGTGTTAAATTATGATTTAACTCTACCTTCTCAAAGATAACCTTGTAAAAGATGATTTTAACCCTATTTGCTTCACAGTTGCAGTATGCTTTCTACCATTCATCCTTTGGGACGAGTATGTACACATTGAAGAATATTACCTCCACCAAATAGATGTCGACATTGTTATAATGGCTGCTATAGCTATAAAGGTTACAGGATTTCATGGTAAGCAGTTTTGTTCTATAACAAATTATTTTTATATAGAACTATGTGTACAAAATTACATTATTTCCAATCAAGCCTGCACATTTACACATGTGCCACTATCATCCTTTGAAAAGGTTTGTCACTTTCAACCATAAAGTATACAAAGGTTATGTTCGAACCTAAGGTTGACGAGGCAATAAAACTTTTTAACTGGTAATCTTGTCATTAGATATCTCCTTTTACATGTACACACTTTTGCATTTTAGCATGCTAATTAACCTGATACTTTCTTGCATCTATGATTGAAAGCAATGAAGATGCCCAATAGATTCTCAGGTATTACCGAAATATTGGGCCATTTTCTCACCAAGTTGCAAGTATAAGTTATCCATTCATCTCCAAGACTTCAGTGTTAAAAGGGCATTCACAGTGTTTGACAAACAAGCAGAGTTTATTGTTGGAAAGCCAGTGTGTTCCATTAAAGACTTGCTCTCTCAAGTAATATACCTTACACTCTCCCCCCTTTTCCACATTACAGAGTCTTGTAAATTTACATAATATCTCACCACTTTATTAGGACAATTCAATTGATGCCTTAAATGGCCTTACTCTACCATGCCATTGGAAGCCATTTACTTTTTATCGTAGAACCACCAAGGCAGACTTGACCTGTAATTAGCTTCGTTACTAGCATCGATTGTAAAACTCTTGAATCAGCTTACCAGAATTGAAGAGCAATCAATGTTCACCACCCTTTAATTTGCGTCTTTTTCCTATTTTAACCCTTGCTTGAGTATAGTCTTGCTTGAGTTTATTAGTAGCAATCTTAGAACCCATGAATGACGTTTTTGAGGACTTGGGCTAAGAGGATGACTTGAAATCGCACATTGATGCAAGAGAGTGAACAGTGGAGTGGGATTTTGCTTTTCTTGAAGGCTAGAACATGAATCCACAGAAGCATGGGGTGGTTTTAGTGAGTTTCAACTCTAGATTTGAAAATTTTCTCAATTCCTTTGCTGAAATGGTTGGGGATTTGAGTGGGAGTTCTCTTTCGTTTTTTTCCTCTAAAAATCTGCCTCAGAGCTCAAAATCCATCATATTTATAGAGAGGGAAGGCTGGAGTAAGTATGAGACAAACTTACCACGTGTCAAATGTTTCAGACATGCTTGAGTGTGCAAGAAAACCTATAAAATCTCAATCTAGCATGCTTTTTTAGAAGATCTCTAAGGCTTTAATAAGTTCATTAAAAAATTTTCATGAATTTTGGGTTTCTCATGCCCAATGGTGTTGTTTTTGAATCTATTCATGTCAGATTCGAATCTAACATCTCAATGACTGAAAATGTAAATTTGAAGTAGTCATAATGACTCTTATGTCAATTTTTAAGTCCAAGGGGTTACTTTGGGGTTTTTGATATACTTGGCTTGTCCTAATTAGTCTAATGGGCAAAGGGGGGTTAAGTGAAGGACTAACATCAGTCCACTCTTTTGAGGTCTTAGGTTGGGACATATGAAGGGGTTATTTAATCTGGTGTGTTAAAATAGAATCTTTCTAGTTTAATGGTCAAACGGATGAATTAAGTCATGAAATTTAACGTGGTAGGGTGTTTTTTTGGTCTCTAATCACAGTAATAAGGTCTAATTGGTCAAATAGGGTTGAAATGATGGAGATCTATGACTAATAAGTTGGGATTTTTGAAACAAAATCTTCATTAGATAGTGGGTTAAACAAGAAAATTTTGGGATAAAATTTGGTGTGTGGGCATTTTTAATCATCCTGAATTCAATGAAAAAGTTGGATTTTTTTATCAAAGGCATGGTTGAAAATTTTGGTTCAGATTAAGATTTAAGGTTTTGAGAATGCTTAAAATGGAATTTTGCTTATTTTGGAGGGATTTAGAAGAACTTAAGGCTGAAATTAGGTGTGATTGATTGCTTAAAGGTTTTGTTTCATATGATGGAGTCTAATGTGATAGAATCATAACCGTCCGAAGGGAATTTATAGATTTAATGGTAGATCTAAGGGTACTTGAATTGTAATTTAATTTCTTGGGGATTTAGCATGCTCTAAAAAGAATGGTGAGGTTTGATCAGGCATCCAGAGTGTGAGATGTGGGTTGGGGAGGGGATTGAGCAAAAATTAAGTATTAAAAACCCATGATATCTGTACTAAAAGTATTATTTTTATTTTAAAAACCGTCATTACAAGAAAGAAGAATAAAGAAGCATACATAGAGGATTGATATAAATATATGAAAGTTTTTATTTTAAAAATCATTATTACAAAAGAGAAGAAAGAAGAATGAATAGAGGATTTATATAAACATGTAAGAGAAAAGACAAAAAAAGATCTCACAAATCAAGGAAATGATAGTTTGGAGTTAGTAAACTTTTTTAAAGTTAACTAATGGAATGCTAATGAAAGGTGTATTAAAATCCAAAAGTTCAAGGGTTCTTTGTCGCAAATAAAAATTTAGGGATAATCTATCATTTTAATTTTAAATGATCTTGATGGTGGCTCAGTTGATAAATTCTCAGGCCAAATGTAATGGAGAGTAGGGATCAAATCTTGACAGACCTGTTAATGGGCTTATAAACATTTTACACTGCTTCAGGCCTGGCCCATTCAAATTTTGTCAAAATGCCATGACCGAAAGCTTCCTAGAAAAGGGGGTGCCATCATGGCTTGGAACATATGAAAACAGAGGTGAAGCTAAGAACCACAATCCTTCCTAAAAGCCCAGTCACAAAAGATGGGCGGATGAAAGCGCTGGTGATGAGATATCATCAGGGATTGGGATGAAAACCAACAGAGAAGAGCATTGGATCAAACCGTGGCCCATTATCTTGCCAAATATGCAGTGGAGACAAATTACAGTGACGATTGGCAGCAAGCTCCTCTGTTCTCGGAAATTTTGATCATAGAGGAAGCTATGATAGTTGTATATGACCCAGCGAGTTCTCTGAGTTTACGTCCGATCCAGTCAAGTGGACGAAAGGCCATGATAGAATCATAGAAAGTTTTATTTATATGCATCAAAATGTCAAGATTTAACAAATACGGTTCTTACATATCCAAACAACATAATCATTGAACAAGGGTTGGGAACTTGGGAATTGGGATGGGATATATATTCTTTCTACATGATATTAGTGCATCGGGAGAGAGCCCACCGTTCATTTTCCACCGACCGGCAACATCTGGGACTCTGGCAGTTGAATATGGCTCCGGCGGGTCACTCATTCCCACTCGATGCCTCGACGACCTTCACATCCGCCCAATTGGCAGCGCTGCCGGTGCGTGGAATGCTCTGGAGTCGCGTAAACAAGTCTACCTTGAAAATTACAGCAGAGATATTTCCATCGTTGTCCTCGTGCGCAACTGCCCTCACCTTGTGAAGCGGATGATCAAAGCTAACCAGTCCACTCCAATTCATGAAGATACATCCTTTGACAGACAACAGTTCCATCAGTAAGAGAACGATAGAGACAGACGGAGAGATGGGGTTGAGATTTGGGAAGAAACTACCTGGAGGAAACTGCGCCGAAGCCCTCCCGCAAGCCTCCGACATGATATTGGGATCATCGGTGCAGACAAGGGACCCATCTCCGGCCACGCCCCACTGAAATTTCACACCTCCGTCCCGGTCCTAGCATGTTGACAAATGGAAATTCAAATTCTACGTTACTAGACAGAGGTGGTGAATATAGAATGATTATGGTGGAGGAGGCGAATTGAACTCACCCTGGCTGCAAAAAGCATGTGGCATCTGGCATCGAAGAGAACAAATGCAAATTTCCCGGCGAAATCTCTGATGACTTGGTCGGAAGGGTAGGGAGCACGATCTCTCAGAACTTTGTAGACCTCCACCACTAGCATTGCTTCGTTTGTTTGTTTAGACAGGCCGTAATGTCGCCGGAGGTCGGAGATGTTCTCTAAATTCCCGATGAAAATGCAGAAGACATCGTCCATTACCACCACAGACCTAATTATACACATTCCAAGTAGACTTTCAGAACTTTGCTTCATTCCTCCGGTTAATTATATGAAATCGAATGACGAAACTTTGAGAAATTGAATTGGTCATTTTCATATATGATCTGGTCTCAATTTCTCAAATGGGTATGTAGAACAGTGTACTATTTTTTGGACTCTGTTAATATCAGTGACGACTGACGACTTCTCAGGTTACGGGAGCCACTGTCGATTGCTCGATCAATGTCAATAGTATTAGTCAAAGTATTTAATAAACTACGAGCCTCGCCCCGGTCCCGTAGCTCAGTTGGTTAGAGCGTTGGTCTTATGAGCCGAAGGTCGCGAGTTCGAGCCTCGCCGGGACCATGATTTTTCAATCGAATTACTTTTTTATAATTTTTCTACTTTCTCCGATGTCAGAAAACGTAAAAAACGGCAGATTTCAATTTAAGAATACCTTGGATGCAGAGGATTTTCGTCTTGGTGAGACAAAGCCATGAGATTACCGCCGGGAAGGCTATAAACTGTCGACTCCGGCCTTGCGGAGCGGAAAACCTCAGCAATCTCGGTCCGGGTTCTGCTCTTCTGAGGACCCACAGTCGGAAGACTGAGCTCCTCCGGTGGTTTCCCGATTGATTTCTCGCAAACCGCCAACATTTCTCCGTCCGAAGCTAACAACAAAGAGACGACTGAACTGAAGAAGCAGCTAACAACAACAGCTCTCGAGTGACGAAAAGCGAGTACTTATATGACGCGCCCACAGAATGCTGAAGCTCCATTGTATTATCTTGTTGGCGATAACAACCGAGGAGAAAGAGATCCAAACCGATCGAAAGTCGCTGGTTGACGCCGCCAGTATTACGTGGCAATTGAATTGGCCATTTATAATGACGTGGCAACTCCACTTTGAGTTCTAAGGTTACGTGTTGATCTTGCAATCACGGAGGGTGGGAAGTCAAGATACAGCCAAGCGTCGGAGCGATTTCTCAAAGTTTGAACTGTAGCTCTAATCCCAAGCTTTAGGCGGCGAGACACTAAAAATCGATCTTTTTCGTTTGATAACCAAAAGTTGGAACATAGAAGATGTGTGGCCGCAAAGATATGAAGAAGATTGAAATAAACGATCTTTTAAGACCTCCAAAACTTAGGGCCCGTTTGGTGTATGTTTTTGCTTGATCTTTCGGCTGTTAAATCGGTCTATTTCTGTTTGATATATGAAAGATCTATCTGCTACAGGATGAGACATCAAAAAGATGTGAAAAGTCTATTTTAAATTGATTTTGAGAAGTTCTAAATGAAGTTTTTCGGGTCTTTTACATTTTAATCTTGTACGAAAAAACGTAGATGATACATAGAAAAACACGTTCTTCAAACTATCTAGATGTTATATCAAAAATTCAATACCTCTTTTAACTGTGAGAATTACATGAAAATCTTCTCAAAAAACCTTACCAAACAAATCCTAAATATATCTTTTTAGCTAAATGAGTATTAGAAGATCTTTCTAAAAAAAACTTGCTCCAAACGGCACCTCACTACCTGTCTCATTTATTCTGCTCAATTAAATGAAGGTGATTGTAGATAGAAACTCTTTTGTGGGAGGTGGGTTCCACATTTATCGTGACTTTGTGAGATAAGTCCAAACTTGCTTTTGTGTTAATTGGTTTGGTAAGGAAGAGTCATGATCTGGATAATGGATAGGGTTGGGATGATTCGGTCAACATGGGTCTTGTTTTTTGATATTCTTCGGAGTTTGGATGGTTCGAATTGAAGATGATGTAGGTGAAGCCCCTTTGACGGTTAAATTTATATTTATTATTATTAGAAGAGTAAATTGTTGAAACCTCTCTTAATTTTAATCATCTTCTTTGAATTTTCTGATATAGTTGCAAGTAAATTTTCTCTCTTATAATTTTGGTAAAACCTATGATACAGGAAAGATATTGTATTGAAAGAGTTTTGACCAATCAAAATTCACCCATGAATTTTGATAAATAACACCTGATTGGCTACCACGCTTTACGATTCTAATTGATTGGTCAGACATTTTTCAAATATCATATCTTTTCTATATCATAGTCGAACCCTAGAATATTTTAACAATAAACACGAAAATAACTAAAATGCTCATGCATTACTTTGGACCAACATATTTATTTTCCAATTTTCTCTCTATCAATTGCTATCTCAAAAGCATCCACTTCTCTTTTCCCAAAATTGATTTATTTTTCAAAATTTTCCTTCATATCAATTCATTCAAAGGTAAAATTTCAACTTTAAATTCTTTTTTATTGTTCATAAAGTTAATATTGTTTTTCCCATAAAAACCAACCTCAATAATAATTGCATGTGTATTTTAGGCATTTTCATGCCTCTTGTCAAAGGATTCTAACAGAAGGAATTTACTTGCAACTGTATTATAAAGTTCAGAGGAAGTAATTGCAATTAACAAACTTTAGGGGATATTTCAGTAACGATCCAAAACTTTTAAGGGAAGTTTCAGCAATTTACGCTTATTAAGAAACAAAAGAGGCAGGAGGCAGACCCCACAAATCAATGCGGATGAAGATAAGATTAGGGTTGGCATGGGTCCATATATTGACTTTATGTGTAATTTTTTTGAAAGAAGCCCATAGGCAGAATGAAGAGGCCATTTCAACAATATTACATAAAAAATCTGGAATAGTAGACCAAGTCTAGACAGAGATAAACCCCGTCAGGCAACTAAATGAACAACAACATTTGCCATCCGTCGAATACAGTTCACTGAGCAAGAATGAAGGTTGGATAAAAAGACTCTTGCTGGTAGTAATGATAATATGGATCAACTGCCACGTTTGATCTGAGTTTGAAAATATGATAAAGAGCCAAAGCTTTAGCCATGATAGAACTTTCACATTTAATAGGCAAAGCCCTTGAAAGAAGAAAAGTACCAATATGATTGCTAATGACTAATCCAACAGAACCCACACCATGTTTAAAAAATTTGCAGCCATAGTTCGCTAATCCAGGGGCCAAGAGTGTCGAAGTTGTAGGATAACATGGAATTCAAAAGACTTGAGCATCAATCAATTTCAATGTAAGCCTTACGTATAACAACAGCATGATCGAATTGAACATCATCAAATAAATGAGCATGAATCAAAATTGAATTGGCAGGCATGAATCAAAATTCACAGGGGTCGGCGACTCCCCCAACCGAAGCTGGAATATGTTGGGCCGAGTTGGAATTAGCAACTGATTTTCTAGAAGCAACCCAGCAATCGAATCTAGAATTTGGGCTTGGGCGCATTGGAAAACTCAGTCTTACTTTTGATTACACTATCAATATCAATAGATTGGTCATTGGCCTTCGAAAAGAAAATCAGTAGATGGATCATTGGTTTGGGGGATCTTCATTCTTCAGAGCATCGGTGCCATCATCTAATGGGTCCCACTTGAAAGATCAATTTTGGCCCAATAATCAGCTCCATGGATGATTTGTATTCGCTTAGGAGGGAAAGGAAATTGGAAAGAGCAAATTTCCACAAGAAAAATGAATAGATCTGATGGTTTGAAAGTCATTTGATCATCTAGATTTTAGTGAAATAAGTATTTTAGCACTACTTAGGGTCCGTTTGGCTTATAGTCGGAATTGGAATAATCTATTTTCATAGTTTGTTTGGTTCAAAAAGGAATGAAAATGAGAATTAAAATCAGTAGGAATAAGATTTTATTCTCAAGGGAGGGACAGAGAATGACTATTCCCTCAAATGGAGGGAATGACTATTCCCATGAGGGAATGTCATTTCAGCAGGAATGAGAATGGAATTTCGATTCTGCCCAATCAAACAGTTAGAATCGGAATAACCCACTCAAATTCCGAGTCCGAACCCTCTATTCCTGCAAACCAAAACGGGCCTTAGATTTTCTCCTGATCTAAATGGGACACCTGGATGGTTAATACTAGTCGGATGGGCTGGAGAAAAAAATCATGCACATCATAGTTTGGATTTCCTCCTCAGAAAATTGATCCTCACAGCCCTTGCAGACGTTGGGATTATTTTCAATGTGCATGGAGATGTTTTCATATTCATGGGGGAGACGCTCACAATCCGTTGCAAGGGCTGCGAAGTGGGTGAAAGAACCAATTTTGTGAGGGGGGAATCCGATTTCTACACATAGGGCTAGGCAACCTATCACGAGCATTCCATATATATATAAGGTGTGGGTCTCATGTGAGTCCCATTCGTACTGAACATGGGCATGTTCAGTTGTGATAGGTTGCCCCAGCCCAGTGTGCATGATTTTATCTTCGATCCATCTGGTCCCGTTCAACGCCATGTGTGGTTTTGCATTTTCTTTAGACCCCAAACTTTACTCAAGGTAGAGGGATGACCACCTTGAAATTTTATTTACTATTATCAAAGGGGAAAATAAACATAACCCGTCTTGCCTTGTGCCCAAAATAGAAGAAACTCTCTAGGTTTGACTATGATGTCAGAAAGATATAATACCTAAGTTTATAACCAATCAACCAGCATCATAGAAGTGGTATAATCAATCCGGTGGATTGCTTTTATCAAAATTCATTGGGGAATTTTGATTGGTCAAATCCCTTTCGCTATCATATCTTTTTGGGATCATAGAATTTTTCGGAGAAGTACAGATAGACCTAATGCATATTTCTGATTTTCACTGCAGAGCTATAAACCTTTAAAATATCAAAAACCCCTACTCTACACACCAATGCCCATTTGTGAATTGAAATCAATTCTGAACTAGCACTCACCCCAACTATACTTTAGGCCTAAAAATTCTGACCTGGGCTAAACCGTCATTCTCCGTAGATTTTTCCTATTTAAAATTCGTTTTTCTTCTCAATACATATGTGCATGTCTTGAGCTCATTCCCTGAGGCATTCGCATGCAGCACTTTCATTAGTCTAAAACTCTAATTTCATATAATTTCGCTCAATTATAATTCTTTTATTGCTTTTAATTTGTGAATAGTTGTACTCATTACAACAAGACCAAAAAGCAACCAAGAAACATAAAGAAACCATCAACTAATTGCAAAGGGTTGGGTCGGTCAAAGTCCCAACTGGAGATTAGTTAAATTCCAATAAACCCGATTTCAGACGTGAGAAATAGGTGGGTAAGTTATCACTTTTCATGGATAAGCCATAGTCCAACGTGCCTTCCCATTTCAACTTGGGGTGTTGTGTTGAATGAGTTATAGGGATGACAATTTTTTCCATTTTTTGGGATCCTCTCCAAACAGATGGGGATGATTTTTCCCATGGGGATGGGGATGGGAAAATTTTCATCCCTGTCAGCGGAGGCCCATCCCATGGGGCCCCTGCTCCTTGCCCTATGAGATCCCCACTAATATATATGTATATATGTACACATACATCTATATATTAATATTTTTAAAAATATGTTTGAATTTTTTCTAATAGAATTGTAAATTTTAATTATTTTACTTTTATTTTTTTAAATTAAATAAAAAATAAAAACAAAATGATTAACATTATAAAAAATAAGGATTATAACAGATAAGGGCAACTTTAGGGCCTTAATATCAATAAAAGTAATATTTTTAAAAAATTCAAAAATAGGCTAACTTTTTAAAAATAATATCAATTAAGGGCAAAAACACTATTCATCTTCTTCCTCTTGCAATATATTCATCAACGCCGCCGCCTCTAGCAAAGTTGTCGGAGGTGGGTGGAGGCAGAAGTGGCGGCGGCGCTGGTGGCTATTCCTTTGCCCAATGCCACCACCTCCACCCACCAGTGCCGTTGCCACTGCCCACTTCCGGCAACGTTGCTGGAGGTGGAGGTGGAGGCGGAGGTGGTGGCGTTGGGCAGAGGAATGACCACCAGTGCCACTGCTGCCTCTGCCTCCACCCACCTCAGGCGTTGGGCAAAGGAATGACCATCACTACCATTGCCACTGTCGCCCACTTCTAGCAAAATTGTTGAAGGCAGAGGCGGAGGTGGGTGGAGATTGGCGGCGGACGACGGCGCTGATGAATGGATTGCAAGAGGAAGAAAATGAACAATGTTTTTGCCCTAAATTGATATTATTTTTTAAAAGTTAACATATTTTTGATTTTTTTTAAATATTACTTTTATTGATATTAGGGCCCAAAAGTTGCCCTTATTAGTTATAATCCCTAAAAAGTATGGGGAATGGGGATCCCATGGGGATGGGGATGGGGATAACCTTGTCCTCGTTAGCGGGGACGGGGAGAGCCACCCCGCCCCATTGCCATTCCTAATCAGTTGGTAATTGAAAAGAGATTGAGGTGTCGTTTGATAAGTCTTTCTTAGAAGATATAGATAAAAGATGATGCAAGCTTTTGCATTAAGATTTTAGCAGTTTGAAGACCTCTTTGATGTTAAGATGTATCTTTCTGTGCGTCTTTCAGGGTTGAAACTTTTGGCGACTAGATCTTTTCCCAACCAAATGAGAAAAGACCAAAACGTGGACTGTGAACTTCTAAAAAGCTGATAGCCTATGCAAAAAAGTATTTATACTTTGTACTCAGTACAATGACCATGCATGTGACGGTTCTTGGGAGGTATTTGATGTAATGGTTGAACTGAATGACCATAAGAGTGGACATTAGACTACAAACTTCTCACAAAGAGGTCATTGACCGAGTTTCTTCAGAAGTAAATGCATGGAGTGCTAAGCTCTTATCACAAGCAGGAAGAACAACTATCATCAAATCGGTTCTGCAGTCAATCCGTCAACTACTATTCGGTGAGCTCCAAACTGGACAAATCAAGCAAAACATTTTGGTGGTCCAACCCAAGTAATCCTACCCAACACACTATTTACTCTGTCGTCCAAAACCGCAGGGGGCTTGAGATTTAGAACAAGTGCTGAAATGAACAAAGCTATGTTTGGTAAACAAATATGGCAGCTACTTACCAATAAACAAGGTTTGTGGAGTAAAATAATGAAGGAGAAATACTTCCCTACCACATCTCTCTTTGCTGCCAAGAAAGGATACAGGAGCTCATGCTGGTGGAAACATGCTTACCGACTGTCTCAGACACTGAAATCCAATCTGCTCTGGGCTATCAAATATGGTTCAAATATTTCAGCAGTAGCCGATCCTTGGATCCCATCCATACCCGGCCATATTCCGCATACTGTTATCCCACATAACACGAATAATAGCTCTCACATCAAAGTGGCAGAATTGCCAAGTCCCGACCAAGCTGGAATCAGCTTTTTGATGAGGAAATCATTGCTCACATCCAAGCAATTACACCTCAGCCCAATCAATCTGAGGATCTACTCATATGGAAACACAACAATTCCGGAGTTTTCTCAGTAAGATCAACTTATCAGTTCTTTAGTCATGCAGAATGTTCAAACTCAACCACACATTTTAACTGGAATTTGCTGTGGAAACTTACAGTTCCCTACCGTTTCCAATTATTTCTCTGGAAATTACTTTGGGACGGGTTGCTCACGAAGGATAAATGTCATAGTTGAGCTGTTCTGATCAGTTTAGTTTCTGCAAGGAGAGAGAAGAAATAGCATTTCATTTATTCTTTCAATGCCCTTATGCAAGAGCTGTTTGGTGTGGTTCGCAGATTGGGTTCAACCCATCCTCACTCACAACCCAATCAGTCCATATCATCATTTCAGAATGGTACAAAACAATGCAAAACCATTTTGGTAAAGAACAAGCTTTGTCAAGTCTAAGCAAATTCAGCTTGATCAGCTACTTTATATGGAAAGCACGTAACAAGTTACTTTTCGAAAGCACCAACACCGATCCACTCCTGGTTGTGCACAAGGCTTTCCAACACTGTATTCAAAATGCATCACCCAGCATCAGATCTCAATCTCATCTTCATTCCCATTCTGTAACTTCAATCAATTCACTCCCTCCATGTATACTGATGGCTCATTTAATCCAGCTATAGGAAGTGTAAGACGAGGATTCATCATCAAGAACTCCACTGAAAGACTACATATTGCAGAAGGAAGTTCTTGCTGGGCCATCAATAGTTACGATGCCGAAATACGAGCGCTCGTAATGGGCCTTAAAGCAGCAATTTCCAGTAACATCAGGCATCTTTTGGTATTTTCTGATAGTACTGAACTAATAGGCTTTGTAAATACAGATCGTCAAGCTAAGCATTGGGTGGAACAACTACATCGCAGTAGTATAAGCATCTCATTTCTGACTTTTTATTTATACGTTTTGTACATATTAATAGACAACACAATCAAACTGCCCACCTTTTTGCCTATATGTCATTCATGGGGCAGTTACATATATAATATGGCTCTAGATGATAATTGAAGAAGCTCTTCTCTCTTTTTTTTTTTTTAAAAAAAACTGAATGAACATAAGAAATTTTGTACTTTGTACTCACCTTGAAAGGGTAGCAACTCCTGAGTGTGAAATAAGTTCATCAAATGCGGGTCCGTGCAATTTGGGGTTTTTGAACCTCCTGCAATTTTTAAGTACGAAGAAGTGTTTTTGAACCATCATTAACCTAAACTGCAGACCATTCAGCTCAGGAACAGTCCAGGCAGCCAATAACTCTTAACCCGGTCTTTGATAAAAAACCATTGACTTGGTTAACGACCCATTAACCCGGACAGTCGAACTATCAACCCATTTGAGCTGGATAATGGTTTTAATTATTTTTTTTAAATTGGAATGGGCAGTCTATTCAAACCGGACGGTCGAATCACTGACCCAGAAACCGGTGGCTAAAGCGGTTCCGATTCCAGGTCAGTTTTTAAAACCTTGGCACGAAGTGGCCTTCTTAAACTAGAATTTGCATTCTCACATGCAATCTGGTGAATTACAAAGAAGTAAAAACAAATTCGTATGATCATTCCTTCAATTTTGGTGCTTGAATTACAAAATATGATACAAGAACATGAAACTTTTTCGACTTGAGTGCCCTTCGTCCCGACATGTCACCTCCCTCCCAGTATGCCAAAAATATAGGTGCTCATACTAAAACTTCTCTTTTTTACATCTTTGAATTAGCACTTGAGATCTTCAAGACCTTAAAGCTAATCTATTAGACCACAAATTCTTTATACATTTATAAACTAAAAAAAGCCTTATTATTCTAGCACTCATCAATGGAAAATTCCGGTTCATTTATCTCTTCTAACTGGCATTGATGAGGATCTGTGAAATTCCTCCTGTTGAAGACCTAAGGGAATCGTAGAAGAGTGAGAAGCTGCATTTCGAAGAAGTGGTGTACCAACCCTGCTAGAGGTTTCATTGGAAACCACTGAAGGACTCGTTGTAACAGTAGGTGCAGGTTGTAACTCAATTTCTGTGTATGTACCCACGGAAGGGCCCTCGAGTGATTCGGGATCATCATCTTCGTCAAGGGAATGCACTGTGCTTGTATCTGTGTGTATGGTTGAATCATCGGTGAAGCCCTTAAGCCTCCGCCGCCGCCTCCTTGCTTCTTTCCCCCATCCATGGATTGTCTCTCTTATTCTTTGTGGGATCAAGGCGGCCTTGTAGTTTGTCCCCATCTGGAAAGTACATATTAGATGTAACAGGAATTTTTTTTTTTATGATTTAAAGAAAACAGCAGAAGTGTGCTATGTTCAGTCTTCTAAATGGTTTAATTTCTGCATCAAGTATGATTTGAAGCACATCCATTGTTCATGATCTTCTTTTCTTTTAACTCTGAATGGTAGGCAATCCATTGTTCATAATCTTCAGTATGATTAAGGAGTTTGCCATAACTTTCTTTCTCATCTTTCCTTTTTCTTCTTTTGTTTTTCTTTTATGTATGTGTGTGCAAAATGGAGGCAAAGCACAGAAGGTGAAAAAAGCAAGTGCTACAGGTACCAAGAACATATAAGGCTATTGTAACTATTAGAAGATAAATGCAACCAAGCTCTATTTATTCAGCTGAATCTGGCTGTAAGGGGCCATAATCACATGGATCCCACCTTAGGAGCTACCTTTTTATTTGTTGAATTCATAATTCAAAATTGGAATCTTGAGTAACCATATGGATTAGGAATACCTGAGTAACCAGCGCGTACAATGGCAAGGTACTGTAGCTGCAGAGGAACTGCCCTGCAAACCTACGAGGCAATATAGGAAGGAATGTGAGGCTCGCACTTCAAATGTATTATCAATTTGAGTCTTAAGAAGTAGAGGTATGTCTAGGCTAACTGCATACCCCAAAATCAACCGTATGTACACCAGCGAGTGATTCTTAATAAAGCAAGAGTCGTACCCGAACTGCCACTGTAAAATAAATCAATGAAGAGAGTAGCTTCAGAAAAAACCTGCAGATACACTGGAACTAATAGGAAAAAAAAGAATATCTGACTCTCTATGTTTCCTTTGCTTCATGATCACTTTTCCATTTTGATGGTTCTTTCTATAGTGCTTCAACTATAACAGGAAAATGGAATACTCTTTTGCCTTTTGTTTTCCTCTTTTAGGGGGGATTGGGGGAAGGGAGTAAACCGGGGTTAACCCAGAAAAACAGGAATTAATTTCAAGTCAGTTCCTATACTAAAGACCGAGAAGGAAAAGAGAAAGAAGCATATAAATCTCATTTAGAAAAGAGAACCAAACAAGTCATAGAAGAGAATGTACCCAGAACCAAAAAAATGAAGCCAACTCAAACGCATTCTGCACACAGAATTTTAGAGGAAACGGAATTTGCCCTTAGTTCACACTCCACAATGGCAAATAAAAGGAATTTTACATTAACAACAAAAGCAACCAACCTGGAAAAGAACAAAATGGATCAAGGATAACAATAATTCTGGTTTTTTAAACCAGAAAAGATCATCTCGAGGCCTTAGCTTTGTCTCTGTGAAAAATCCAGTTATGCCTGCATTCTCTAAGGCCAAAGTTGCTATAACATGTTGTAACTTTGTACCAACCAGAAGAACAAGCTGCAAAAGAGCATAGGATTCAGGATAATGTGATCAGACTCATGAGAGGCCAATAGCATATTATTCACCTTGATATTTATTTGTTAATAATGCAAATGCAGGCCATGTAGGTGGTTAGGATTCTAAGTTTATTTAAGCAAGTTATTCTGATTTAGTCCCTTCTTTTAATATTTTCTATTTTTAGTCATCATCAAAGCCTTATCCCAACTATATAGGGTCCGTTATGTGGAATCCTATTATGCAATTCCTTTCTGTTTAATGGATCCTATTTTTAATCAATGACAAAAATTTTATAAAGTGATAAGAAGAACGATGGGTCAAGCCAGAGCATTATATATATAAAAGGTTCCCAGGTCCCAACCTTCAATTACCCAAGTGACTGACCAACAACCACCATCCCTACAACTGCCAGGGTTGGCAGCACCTCAGTACTGCCAAACTCTATCAACTCCAGATGGCATTTTTCCTTTCATTTTGTAAAGTTTTACACACTAAAATACTGTGTACTGTATTAAAATATGTTGGAGTGTTGAGCCTCTCAATTTTTTTGCTGGTTATATGCAGTATATATTCTAGGTACATGATTGTATAACAAAAGTATTCCCAGATCCAGATCATGTGTGTAAAAAGAAGAAAAAGAAAATGATTGTATGACAACTTACAGTGATGGGAATGATGGCTATCCAGAAATAGAGATTAGACCCTGCATATAAAATATGGAAATCAAGAGCTAGGTATATTGAAAACTAGTTAAGTATATTAAGGTTATTGATAAACCAGTAATTACATCCAAAGAAAGTAATAATCTTGGCTATTGGCTATTGGCTATTGGCAATTGGGCAAGTCAAGGAAACACTTAAACTATATGTTTGCCATATTGTCTGGGACGAGATAAATAACATGATTAAGGAACAAAAGTATATCTTCACAAGTAGTATGAAACATCCCATTATTAGAGACAAATGATAAAAAATTATGTTGTATGACTTACCTTTAATATTAAACAGCATGAATGCAACGACAAATCCCCAAAGTGGTGCACTGCAATATACATAATATCCAGGTATTTAGTTGGCCAGGTTCGAATGGTCAATACTAAAGATTTGAAGCAGCCATTCTTACAAGTAAAAAATGTGAAGCACATGCAATATAGTTGAACTGCAAAATTTTCAATGGGTTGAGATGATAAACTGCAATACAACCAACAGAGGAAGGGATATGCTACTTTGAGATAGAAATAATAACTGTTTGTGCAGAAATGGAAAAGGGTGGACAGAAAGAGGTCTCTTCTTTTTTTTTCTGTTCTCTAGGTGGGGAGAGATGATTAGATTGATTAAAATCTTGTTTCTAATCCCTAATCCAAGTATGTAGCCTCTCCACTATTAGAGGAATCACTCTGCATGCATAACTCAAAGAGTGCCAGGAAAAGAATCTTCATTTTCTACTTGCAGAGTGCATCACCACTCAGAGAAAAGAAAGGAATCTTCTTAACAAACTCTTACAAGCCCCAACTTTCCCACCAAACAATTGAATAAAGGCAAGACTTTACAATAAGAAATGCCAATAGAAGAAAAAAAGAAGCTTAAAAAAGGAGTCTAATGGGCTAAATGCTAGTTATTCACACCTCTTTCCAACATGAGCTAGCTGGAAAATCCTTACTGTGGGCTCAATTTAGGATGAGCCTGGGCAAAAGCTTGTGGTGTTGGCCCTGGCATAGAGGGTAGGCCTACACCAATGGGTTGATTAATGATGCATGGAAGACCTGCATTGCCATCTTGTATCAATATAGTTCAACAGGACTAATATAAAGGACTCCTGATTAAAAGAGAGGGGACCAGGGGGGGTAAAAATACAGATACCCTCCAAAATTTTTGCTAGACCTAAGCATGTCCAATCTATATCAGAGGTCCAATATTGAGTTCCATATTCCTCTGAAATAACATCACCAGGTTCAACTGAGCTAAGCAGAACTCAGAATCAAAAGCCATTTTCTGAGTTGACAATTCACTCAATAGTGACTGTTGACAGTGACCAAGCAGAGCTTTTACATCCAAGAGAGGATATTTAAGGTTCCTCCTTTTTTTGGTAAACAATGAACAAAAATCCATTATATCATTGAGAGTTTAGATTTCAACTGTTGGGATTCACATATGAGTAGTGTATGGAATAAAGAGAGTCCCACAATGGAAAGGAATGAGAGGTGCAAGGGACTTATATAAAGAATGGCCCATAACCCAACAATGGTATTAGAGCCAAAGGTTTGGCTGGGCGCAAGTATTGAAAGATGCATGCGACAACTCCCTTAACTTTGTGGTGTTCCCCATGGTTGAGTAGTTCGCAAGAGTGGTTGGTCTCCCATGATGAACCCACCAATGGGAATGTGCTCCCATGGTTAGTTCTCAATAGTCGTGGGCAAAGGGCTCTTGGATGGTGTGCATCAAGCTTGGCAATATGATAACAACTTCCATTTGAGTGGGAGTACGGAGTTCCCAATGTGAAAGAGACTCACACATGAGTAGGGGTGCTCACGGTTCGGGTAACCGAACTGTGGGCCTTTTTTTTTGAACTGAACCGGTAGTACCGGTTTTTGGAAAACCGGTAACCGGAACTGAACCGAAACCAGTCGGTTAACTGGTTGACTGGTTCGGTTAACCGTCGGTTTGGTTCACCGGTTTTCTCGGTTTTTTAGTTTTTATAATATATATTATAAAAATATATAATAAAAATTTATAAATATATATACAATATTATATTTTAAATAATAAATAATATATTATAAATATACATTCATATATAATGCATATTTATTAATTTATAATATATAAAATATATATAATATACATAAATATATAGAAAATAGATAGAAAAACATGTATACCGGTCGGTTTTGTTAACTGCCGGTTTTTTATATTGGTTAACCGAAACCGAACCAGTACCTTCGGTTTTTTAAAAACACCAAACCGAAACCAAATCAACCGGTTCGGTTAACTGATTTTTCAGTTTGGTTTCGGTCAGTTCGGTTTTTCAGTTTTTTGTGCTCACCCCTACACATGAGAGGGAGATTGATGGGATTCACATGTGAGTAGTGTGTGGAATGAAGAGAGTCCCACATTGGAAAGGAATGAGAGGTGCAACAATTATAAAAAAAAAGGGAATGAGAGGTGCAAGGGACTTATATGCAAGAATGTCCCATAATCCAATGGCTTAGGTTTTTGGGTACGTGTATGAACCCCCTGGTTTTGGCAACTCCCCTCAATGCACAACAAATACAATCCAAGAACTCCAACCACCAAGAGAGGATATTTAAGGTTACTTTAAGATGTCCTTGATCACCATGTGGACAATGATTGTTTATAACAATTTACAGAAAACAAAAATTTTGACTAGTTGAAATTACATAAGCTGTGTCTAGTTTGATATTTAAGATTCTTGAAATAAGCATGTAATTAAGAAAGCAGAAATGATCTAATTGCTTAAACAATCCTCTATTTAGAAATTGACTAGTTAACAAATTATAACAAACTATAACTGACCTCACACCAACTATTCTTTGGAACTCTTCTTCCATAGAACGAATCATATAGCTGTGGAAATCATATTTTGATGTGAGGTGGTGGTTCTGCCGGGAAAAAAAAGGAAACACACTTATCAATAAAGGGTAATAATATTTGAACATCCACATATAGTGAACAGCTTTGTTCTTTGCTAGATATACAGTTTCA